TTTCACTTCAAAAAATAACATCATTCAAAATTCATTCCTTTCTCTTTCATTTGGCATGAAAATCATTGAATAAAGAGCTTAAATGGCCCGGCAATGGGAAATCTGAAAGATATGCACGAAAAAAAACAATGTCATCTGCTAAGTGTTGTTGTCATCACCTGGGTGTTAAAAACCAAACAAAACTCATCAAGACATTGTTCAAACATAGGTTATATCAAGCCCTAGTAATGTTGACTCTTTTTTTTCACTCTTTGCTTTTATCTGGAAGTGGTGGGTTTTATTACAACTTGTTCTAAGGTTTATTGCTGGCTGGCTGACCTTTGACCCAGATGTCAAAAGTCAATTTGGTTTAATTTCCTTATAAGCTGCTATTTTTGGAAAAAAAAAAAAACTTTTATTTCTGGTGGTTAGGAACTGCAGATAAATCTTTTGCCTTTTACTAAAGATTTCAGTGACTGGGTGTCAATTTCTCTTAACCCTTGGCAGTCATATAATTGAAAATTACCAATGGATTTTGTCACATTTTGACCCCCTAGGAATGTTGATTTTCTTCAAAACTCTCAATTTTATGGAAATAGTTTGATTATGATTTAGGCTTTCTGATTTTAAAAAAAAAAAAAAAAAAAAAAAAAATGGTTAATTTCCCATTAATGGGAAAATATTTATTTAGAACAACAAAAAAAAAATGCAAAATTTTCAATTTTTCACATTTTACCCACTGAAAAAATTTTGAGTCATTTACACCAGTCAATTTTACTTTTAAATGAAAGAATATGTCCTTTGCTTTCAGAAAATACCTAGTTTCATGGGGTTCAGATCAAAGTTTTCTTGATATTAGTTTAGGTGATGATAAAACAGTCATTTTTCAATATTTTACCTATATAAAAGTATGAAAATCCATTTTTTGAGAGAAAATAAGCTGTGACAAAATGACTTTTGCCATTTTTGTGATGATTTTCACTTGGGAAAGAAAATTTTTACCGTAGGAAACCTGAATTGACTTTATTTAAGTTCAGTGGGGCTATAGGAAACCTCAAACAGCTGTGGTACCATTGGGGAATGTCTATCAGAACAATTACTATGAAAGTATTTATAGAAAAGGCACAGGGAAGCTAGATTACGGAGATGGGAAAGTGACTGAAGCTGAGATACCAGGTCAGGACCAATGACATTGCAGATTCTTTGGATGTTATCAAGGATCCCTATCACAGAAGCACTTTTTGTGGGTAGCAACATTCTAAGCATAGACAAATGATAGATTTATAAATATGTAAGATAGCATGACACAGTGAACCAACTTTCCTAGCAGCAGACCAAGCAATTGATTCAATATAATTTTTTCATTTCATATCAACGTAAAATATTAGGTAGAGAAGGCACAAGTCATTCTTCTGGAGGTTAGCATTAGGTTGAAGGAGAGAAAACACTAACAGTGACATCTTTCTTCTTAAATGAAGAGAAGAGGAAGCATTTAAAAATAAACAAATTAGTTCTAATACTAGCAGAAAATAATGAACAAACTTAGAATATGAATTGCTAACATTTTCAACTTCAGAGTGGCCCAAAATTCTTTAAGATGACAGTAATAAGCAAATTAAGAACATAACTATTTAAGTTTTAAAACTTTTTTTAAGTAATGAAAAAGAAAGAGTCCTTTGGTTTTTAAATGTCAGTCTTCGCAACTACTAATTCCTGAAGTTAGTAAGTATAAAAAAGCTGATTCAGATTTAAAATTTGATTCCATGTTTGTTATGCATAATTGTTAATTTTCGTTTCATCAATCGATGCCCAAGGTCAGAGGTAAACGAGTGGCATTACGAACGATTGCGATAAGTTAAGATTTTTGTAGATCTTCAAAGTACGTAATCATACGTTGCTCACTTAGAACTAAGACTGCATCTTCTGCTATTGGAATTGACAGAAAAGTAGCAAATAAAAAGAAAGAGAAAAAAAAAATTCTGGTTTGGTTACGCAAAGGAAGGCTCATATTGCAGTTAAATTCTCTCCCACGCAAAGACAATATAGCCAACAGACTCAGGAAAGGACAGAAAACGGATGTTTTTAAGCACTGAGTAAAACTAAACTTATAACATAGAGGTGATCGATTTTTTTTTTACCTACCTACACCACAGACTGTGTTTTTGTCAATATTCATGGCTAAATATAGGCCACGCTGCATGACTACGAGTAATTTGTGCTGCTGAAAGCTTTGTTGGTATTTAAAATATAAATTTCGAACATTGAAAAAATGCTAAAATTTAACATTTATAATTTAACCACAACCCATAATTGAAAAAGTGATATGCAACAAGAAAAAAAAAAGTTTAATAAAAAATAATCTTACTTTGACATAAAACTGAAAATTTTGATACAAGAACTATTGCGTTTTTAATTAATATTTAGAAGGAGGTATTGGAGTTAGAAAAGTTGTTTGCACTACAAAAAAAAAAATAAAAATAAAAGTGTGTAAAGAGAAATATTTTGAAGATAAATATGTGTAGAGTGTAGACCTCAAAAATTTACTAAAAATAGCTACTTACTAATTTATCTGATTTCAATAACATTTTTTCGATACATTCATTTTTAAATTATTTATGGAAAAATTTATAAGTTTGAGGAAATAATTTTAACTCGGATGACCTTTAGAAAAAAAAATAAGATCTTAAAAATTCAAACTACAAACAAAATAATCTAAATTACTTAGATTGTTAATTTAAAATGCCGTGGGTGCATCAATAACTTTCCGAGCACTGTAAGATGCAGGACAAGCAAAGAACATTTAATTTTGGAAATGCTAGGTACAATAAAGTTCATTAGTCATTGCTGGTTTTACTTTTAGTTTTTTAGCAGTATTAGCATCAAGAATAAGAATGACATGAACACTCAGTGAACAGGTAATAATGAAGATAATACAAAATAAAGAACTCTTGGAGAAAATAAACTTTCTTTAGCAAAAAGAAATTTAAAGGATGTTGAAGTGGTTTGAATAGAATATGAATAGAAACGTCTGGAAAGAACAGAAAATGTTGACCGAAGATCGAAAAAGCAAGAACCCTGTCAGGAACTGTGCAGCCAAATAAAAAGAATTTGGGTAAGGGAGATAATAAAGCCTTTTTTCCCATCAAACGCGAGGAATTGCTTAAAGAGGAAACATTTGATAGACTAAAATTTAGTTTATCAAATGTTTCCTAACTAAAGTGTAGAAATTATTTGTAGTTGAACATCAAATTTTAGCATCCTTTAATTCCCGGAATTTACTATAATCCAATGTAAACATTTTTTTAGCATGATCCATTTGTATCACTTGATCGATGCCCTAAATTTGAATGGACAAACAATAATCAACATTTAATGAATGAACTTCTGAAGATAAAAAAAAGTAATTGGTAAGTATGTGAGAGTAGGATGAATTAATAAACTTGTTCAAAAATGTAATAAAACTAAAATAAAAATATTCCTGTAGTGTAATAAAACTAAAAGTAAAAAGAGAAAGTTTTTTCAATTCAAAACAGTCCTGACGATAAAAGTTACATTTCGAAAAAAAAAAAAAAAAAAAAAAGTGATAATAATCTATTACTCCTTGCGCTGTTTATAACCACTAGCAACAATGAGTCTATCTTGACAAAACCGCCTTGTCACTGACATGTCACGATAGTTGGAGAAAAAGTGGATCAATAAGAAAACATGAACAAATGTACTCTATACATTTCATAGACAGAAGAAACATTTTGAATTTTGATATATAAAGAAAAGATTTGCAGATCGCGAGCGATTTGAAAGTAATTGATTATGATGGGAAAAAATGTAAAAGAATGCAGTTAGAAAAGTAAATGAGAACAGCGGAATCCAGAATAGGTTTGGCCTACTAGTAGACTTTTTCTTTTTTTGCATAGCTTGCAAAATTCTGTAAAACAGTCACACGTAAGCGTATTTTTGACAACGAAGGAAATTTATTTCTTAAAAATCAAATATCCGTTTGTTCAAAAAAGAAAAAAATGATAAAAAGTTTTCCAAACTGTTTTCAGCTTTAATCAAATATCTTTATTAGTGCGACGGGGAGCTTTCAGAGATAATCAGTTAAACTAAACAAACTACTACATCGTGTAAAAATTGCAATATTAACTGTTATGAGAATTGTCAGTTTTACCAGAATTATTATAACAACCCATCATGATGATAACTACGCTGCTTTGTATCATTATTGACAACAAGATAAGTCAAAATTTAAGAACTTAGTAAATTAACTTTACAATTTACATGTATGAAGTACGGGATGCAACACAAAATTAATAATTGTATTTAAATTTTTAAAATAATAAGAAAAAATAAAACGAGATTAAGAACGATAAAAAAAGACTATTCGAAGAAACAATGATCAAATATTAGGATAAAACTACTTACTAAAATAAACAAGTACGATTCTGTTAAATTTAAATGTAGTTTTCACAGAATTATGCTGTAAAAAATCGACTAACAAACGAATAAAACAATACAAAGATTTTATTTTTATAAGACCAAAAAAGAAAAAGGTTATAAGTATTTTCGTAAGAGATTTTTGAAAGGGTTTACTAAGAATATGTTAGTTCTAAGAGAAGAATAGGAAACTAAGTGTAAATTTAAATATGCTCAATCAGAAAGTAACTGTCATCGAAGTTGTAGTGAAATCGACAACAATGGAGGACGGACGAAACAAACAAAACAATGATGATCTCTGCTACGGAAATTATAACCTCCATCCCCTTCTCAAAAACCTAAAAGCAAAATTAACTTACGAGTCATCGTGAAGAGCTGGTTAGAGTTTTGCTAACTCTAGCACATTCAGTAAGATTCGAGATGAAATAATTTTCTTTTTGCCACAATTATATGGCCTTTAATTCCGCAACCTACGTGAACTCGAACTAGACTTCGCTAAAGAATTTCTTAGAATGACACTGCGCCTGCGCTAAGTTTATTTACCAATCAAAATGCTTTATACAATGACTTGTCACAACTAGTGTCTAATGCTAACCAATCAGAAAGCTTATTTCATAATTGACATCGGTAACACACTTCTTTCATCCTTCGTATCTTCAGTCTTTAGTATCGTACGAAAATTGGTATTTTCGTTCATTATTACTATTCATTGATGATGTGTAAATTATAAATCGGCAGAATCGAATTTATCATCAAGAAGGATATTCTAGGATCGATACCTGGAGAAATGAATTAGAAGAAACCTGCAAAATATTACGGAAATGTCTTTCTAAAATCAAAAAAAGGCAAGGTTTACAATTTTATTTGATTATTTATTTTAAAAACGTATTGGGTTGGCTAAAAAGTTCGTTCTGTCTTTGTTATTAGATGCTCTTAAGAATTTTTAGTTTAAACTAATTTCATTGGAAAATATCATTTGATTGTATTAACAGATGTAATTAATTAGAATGTTTTAAAAATGTCGAAACAAAAAACTGATGTTTTTTAAATTATATCACGGAAGATAAATAAACAACATTTTTGGCATCCTTTAAGAAAAGTAAAAAATGCGATTTCATTTTTTAAAATTGTTCAATTTATGAAAAAAAGTACTGTGAATGATCGAAGGTGTCAAAAATGAAAATGGTTTATACTTTATATGAAGTTTCTTGTGGGAATTTTCTCGTTGAACGACACTTCACGGTTAAGGTAGATTTATGTTGATGTCGATCAAATAAAATAAAAAATATTAGAACAATCAGCGTTACGGTGGAAGCAAGAAAGAGTCAACAAAATATCCAAAATTAAATGTTGAAAAATAAAGTTTGCACCAGTTTGGTTATGGTAGTCGCTTTGTTGTGTAGCTTCCGCCATCATTTAAGTGGAAAAAAAACACGACTGGGCCGTATTTCGGTATGTAATTCGTTATTCTAACGTGTCGAAAATATTTTAAAAGCTTTTCATCCATAGAAGGTGATACCATGTATGGTGACATTGAAAGGGATCCTTTTTTTTTTTTTTTTTTAACAAGCTTCTTCTCAGGGACCAAACGATCGATCCGAACAATTATTGTCTCCAGTAATGTAAAAACATTCGTAATTTAAAAAGAAAGAAGTTCATCAACTATGCCTCACTTATTTTTTTTTTTTTTTTACACATAATAAGTAAACATTTCTGGATTATTATCATCGGTATTTCTTTTACAAACTTCTCTTCCCTTAAAATAATCTTGCCCTGGAAAATTGTAAAGTGCAGCGACACCAATTTTCTGTAGAGGATGGAATGTTGAAAGGATGAGAGAAAATAGTGATGTAAAAAAAAAAAAACGGTAAATAAATGATTTTTGTCTTACTCTTCTTATTTTTTATTTTACTTAACCTGGAGAAACTTTTTGGCCAACATGGATGTTTTGTGTCGAAGATGAAGAAAAATGTGAGATAACTAGTTTTCTTTTATTTGCCACGATGTACGATTGCAATTTGCAATAAAATTAATTGGGGAGGTTATGTTGGTTTTTATTTGTTGACTTACAAATGCACGTGGGGGGGGAGAGGTTGTACTTAATTTAATTTCTTCATTAAGGAGAAAAAAATTTGTTTTCTGTCAGTTAACTGATCTCTGAATTTGTGTTCAGTAATTAAATAATTAATATGACCGCGAATGTTCAATTGTATTGCAAAAAAAAAAATTGGACATTTAACTGTGTCTTTTTTCATTCATTAGTTGGCATAAAATGTTAATAATCGATGCGATATAAAATAAATTAACAAGTCATTTCACATTTGTCTGAAACCACTGAATGTTTAAAACAAGGAGAGTTTCAGGTTGTACTTTTTATAGAACTGTTTGAAATAGCAACAAACACATGTTGTTAGCAAGAAAATTTAAAACTTTTAGTTTTCTTGCTAACATGTGTTTGTTGCTATTTATTTTTAGTTTAAAAAAAAAAACGAATTTGTACATAGCAAATTCAGAATTCATACTGAATTTTTTTCTCTGTTTTAAGAAATCCTTTCCTTTAGATTAAAAAAATAGTGATAATTTATTAAAAATCAAAACAGAAAAAATTAAGCGTGAAAATTGATGACATCCATATTTTCGTGATGATAGACTCTAGATCAGCAATAAGTTTAAAAATGTAAATTGAACATGTGATACGTCGGACATAAAGTCAGGGTCCGGTTTGACATGAAAGTTTCATTTTAGAACGACTTTTTTCCTGCTTCCACTCTTAAACGTTCACTTAAAAAAAAAACAATAAATAGTCCGCAAGAAAAGAATCTCCTTTTTAAAGTGATGAGAAAACTACATTGGAAAATTATCTTTTCGTAGATAAATATTCATCTGTTTTCTTTGCAGTTGTTTGCATTTTTGTATTTAATCTTTTCAATTTTATTTACGGAAGATTCAGTAATAAACTAACGAACACGTGCTTATTACATTCTTTTTTTTTTTATATTTTTTTTCGATTTTCTTCATTAAGAAGTTGAATATCTTTTCTTTTTTCCGTACACTCTCTCTAATCGGTTTCACTGTGTTATTTTGTGTTTTTTTTAAAAAAAAAAACATTAATTTTTATTTGATTTATTATCATATTTTACTTTTTTTTTTTACTATAGTATACTGAGTTTGACACAACAATCTCAAAAGTGAATTACTAAACTACTTGGTACCCACACTCACACATTCTTTTTTTTTTTTTTTTTTTTTTTTTGAAGAGCTATTTCAACACGTTGTGTAGTGACATTTTTAACATTTTAAAATTTTAAATGACTTCTAGTTTTTTTAACATTTTTTTAAACTTCAAAATTTACTTTAGTCGTGTAAAAGTGCCTTTAAATTTTTAAGTTTAAAATTTATTTATAATTAATTACGTACTTCCAATATTGACTCCAAACCAAATCCATTTATTTTAACATCACTGAAGAAAGAAAATCAATCAGTAAAAATCACTGTTTTTGCGCATTACACAGAAACTGAGATAAGTGTTTGCTCAATTTTACTTTAAAAAAAAAAACCCTTTTAAAAATAATTCTGCTCAATTTGAAACTTTCTATATGACTTCATTTATTTATAAAAAAAAATAATTTAAAATAAAGTATTATAATTAAATACACCCCGCTTTACCTTTATTTTAAATTTTCGGAGGTTTAATTAAACCTCCGAAAGATGATCGAAGGCTGCAATTAAAGTTATTGGAGATATTATTCATTTTAGCATTTCAAATGATTTTAACGACATATTGACTTATCTCCCCTACATCTTGCGTTAAATAAGATTCCTAGTCCCTTTGGATATGAAGTCATTTGTAATAAAACGAAAATTAACGTTTGAAATGCAATGTATATTCCTTATTTATTTCGTAAGTAAATAATAGGTAATAAGCACGTGTTCGTCAGAAGTACTGGATTTAAAACTTCTATAAATAAAACTGAAACTTACTTAATTCAACATTTGTGGCCAAAAGATAAAAGGGTTGGTGGGGCTGCGAACATTCCAGGATCAAACAGAAATTTGGTTTGTTTCCAAGTTTTAATTAAAATCTTTCATCAAATCATAATGTGATTTTTCCAACTTTGTTCAAGAAACTCGTTCTTTTCAAAAAAAAAAAAAAAACTGTGTCAAAGTATAAATGAAAAAATAGAGGTCAAAAAATACCTACTGAATTTGTTTGGTAAGAAACCAGAGGTGAGACTGAATATTAAATTTGTTTACACTCTGCAATAGTGTAAAGTATTTTAAAAATCTTTTGTCCATACCAAAACATTATTTCCTTATGAATTTAAAGAGGATTTATTATTTACTTGTTAATTTTATTTAAAAATAGAGCTCTTTTCAGTATAACCAAAATAATCAAATGCCATGAATCTTTATCCTCATTTAATAAACTTCTTTTTTTTTTTTTTTAATCAAAACAAAAAAAAAACATAATCAGGCTAGGGGAAAAATGCCAAGAATCAGACATTTTCATTATGCAAATCAATCACCAAGCATTAATTAAAACAGTAAAAGCAATATCACCATTTTTCAAGATAGTTCAGCGCAGGCAGTTTAACAGTGATTGATTATGAACAGCGGGATCAATAATCATAGCTTATATTCCAGCTATTGTGTTCACTTCATACTAATACCCTTGGCCCACAAGCTATGGGTTAGAGCAGAATATGCTTTTTTAGTCATGAATGGCAAAATTAAAACTAACTGGGCATCCTGACGTCAACTGTAAAATGGTTTACTTTCAACTTTCAGATTTTAATAATGGACATCTCATCATGAGACATAGCCATCATTATCCTCCTCCTTTGCCATAAATTTTTCCTTAAAACTCTTCTAGATTGAACTAGAAATTTAATTTTTTTTTAAGGTTGAAACTTTAAAAAGAAATGTTAATTATAGTAATATATATTAAAAATGTAGAAACTCTGTTGGAGAAGCTGGTGATAACCATTTCTTCCTCATGTTTGACAGTTTTGTATCCATTCACCTCACCTCACCTCACCTCACATTATAATTATATAGTTGTATTATTATTTAATTTCCTTTTTTTGTTTCTTTTCTTCTTTAACAGTTATTCAAAGTATTAAAAAATGAGTGAAAAATCAGAAACGCAATTCTCTTTGCCTCATTCATCAGCAACTATTCGTAGTCCGTCACAGCATCAAGCAATGCACAGAAAATCTGTTGATGTTAATGTCAAGGTATGTCATTCTTTAGTTCATTTTTAAGCAATATGAAAGGTGTATCAAGAAAACTTTTACAATTTTTGGGGGTCAGGTTCCTCAAACTAAAACAAGGACAAAAGTCCATGTAAACATACCTTCACAAATCCTTCATATTTTAGTTATTAAGTTTAAAGAAAGTTTACTGTAGATGGCACGGTGTTGCCATGTAAACTAAGTTTTATTTTTCATTCATATACATTTGTGACTGGTCCTTCAACATTTAGCATGTGTAGTAGTGAGTTAACTGCAAAGTGTTCTTTTTAACATTAGCAGCTTATTGATATTGTGAGCAGGCAGATATGATTTTTACATATGGCCATATGTAAAAATTATATGGCCATGGCTGTATCAGATTGCATTTCCAGACCGAAGGCAGCAGAATCATTCAACATTTGCTGCTGTTTATTGTTGTGTTGCTAAGACAGGATCTATGGCAGTACAAACTATGGATTAAGGAAGACCAAGATCAACTCTTATGCCTAACTGCAAAGAACACATTCTACAGGCTGTTGGAGATTATCCAGGTATCAGTACATGTCAAGTGGCTCTAGCATGTCGTACATCTCATGGTATCGCATGGAGAGTGCTTCAAGAACAGCTCCTGTATCATTTGCAATATGTGCAGAGTCTTTCACCCTTTGGTCACTCACGACAGGAGAACTTTTGACGATAGTTTATTGCACACACTGCTAATCTGTTGTTTGTCTCTTCAGTCTTGTTTATGAATTAGACAACATTTAGAAGAGATGGAATAAAAAATTTACACAACCAACATTTGTGGGTGGATTGAAATCCCTATGGTACAATAGTTTAGTCACAAGCCACAGTTTACAATTAATGTGTGGAAATGTAGGTGACTGCTAGGTCAATATGTTCTCCCAGCATGTTTTACAGGGACTTTATTTTGAACACACTTCCAGACCTGTTAGAGGATGTACTCTGGCTAATATGAATATGCATGTGGTTCATGCATGATGGGGCTCCAGTACATTTTAGTCACATTGTTCATGATGCACTGACTTCCATCTACTATGAAAGATGGATAGGTAGGGGAGGGCCGGCTCCATGGCCTAAACATTCTCCCAACCTCAATCCTTTGGATTTTTATTTGTGGAGCCACCTAAAACTATTGGTTTATGCAGCAGACATTTATAATGCAGAGATGCTTCATCAACATGTCATGGAGACCTGTAAACCATTCAACACCATTTGGGGAGTATTTGAAAGGGTTTACAAAGTCAATGATCAGATGGGTGTATTTATGTGTAGAAGCAAGTGAAGGACATTTTGAACATTTGTTATGAGTTGCTGTGTTAAGGTATAACGATGTCCTTTTGGACATATGTTTATATAAACATTTTATCTTGTTTTAGTCTTAGGAACTTGCCACCAAAGTTTGTAAAGGTATTTTTGGATTGTACATTCAACAGCATCTAAACTTAATAACTCAAAAAATGAAGGATTTACAGACATATGCTTAAATAGACTTTTGTCCTTGTTTTGGTATGAGGAACCTACCCCAAAAGTTTTTAAAAGCATTTGATATACCCTGTGTGTGTGTATGTGTATGTGTATATATATATATATATATATATAATATGTGTGTGTATATCTTTGAAAAATACATAGCTATCTCAGTTACAGGGTAAGCACATATTAAGCAGGCCGTTCAAAAATTCAGTCTTCTCTCACCAGTGGTCTGATAAACTAATCTGTTTTAAGGATTGGAAGCACAAATCTAGTTCAGTTAGTTATTAAGGACTTTATATCTATGTCCCATATTAAGAGAGAAGTTATAAAAATCTGTCTTTATAAACCAATATAATGTTTAGGAAGTTTGAGAGCAAGGAGGTATTAAGAAGCACAAAATCAAAAGACAAATCTCAAGACAAATCACTGGGTTTCATTTAGAAGATAGTGATAAGAAATATTGTATGAAATGAGCTACAGAAAACTGACTTTTTTTTTCTCAAACCATTCTTTTTGTTAACAAACACAATGCTATCTTCAATGGCGTGAAGGGTTGGTAATTACTCACAGTAACTGCCACCACAAGATGAAACATCAAAAGAACAGGGTTGGTATGATGTTTTAGGGTCACATTTCATTGGTAAAGTGGTGGGCCCAAGTATCAGATTGTATTGGTGGCTCAGATTTTTCTTTTTAAAGAATAAATGGAGCCAGGATCTTTGGAAAACTAAATACTTCTCAAAAGAAGTTGAATTTTTATACACAACAATGCTTCATCCCATTTGTAAAAAAAAAACTAATGAATATGTGATTAAAATGAGTTTTAAAGAAACATTTTATGAAATGACAGGCTTGCTGACCATAACGCAATTGAAAACTCATTGCGCATTCTGAAGAGCAAGGTTTTTACATTGGCAGATGTATTACATTTACATTTAATAGTAAAGATGAACTTTGGAATGTTATTCTGGATGCTCTGCTCTTTCATATGAATAAATAGAAGTCAAAAAATCAATGGACAAAAAACAAAAACTCATTTCAGAACATGGATCATAAGTTTCACATTAAAGTTGTCTTTATAACCATGTCATCATTACAATAACACTGTTTTCAATTATTTGTTTGAAACATTTAACTTTGTAAACTTTATGCATTATCTCTAATTATCTTCAATGATGATTACAGCATAATGTTTATTAGACTTTCACTAAACTAGCTAATGTGAAACTTGGAAAATCCCGTAATTTTCATAAATTTGTTACCACATCATAAGAGTAGTCTATTATAATTTATACATATGTGAAATACCCTTCACATTAATACTATAAATATTTTTATGAATCTCTCTATATTTTTTTTAAATTAGCTAAAATTTAAAATAAAAAACTGACAAACAATGCGAGACACAAAATAAAAGACAGTGTGATAACAAAACAGAAGGCAAATACCTATAGTAAGAATATTAGTTTGCAGTAGTATAATAAAATAGACCAAGTAATTTAAGACATTTTTACCAGGAACTAATATCTTAGTGATAACTTTACATATTTACAAAGAATTTGCTTTAAAAAATCATTAAAATTCAACAAAAAGGTCTTTTTTCAAGCATGTATGTTTGGAAACTTAAATGAAACTGCTATGTAAACAATAGTATCATGCAAATCAATATTGCCAAAAGAATATAATTCAAATTCTAAGCAGTGTAATTTATACATTAAAAAATTGGTTCCTCAGTTTCCCTTTAAGAAGTTAGTATATTTCTAAATTCCGTTACTTATATTTAGTAGCAAATATAACTGGCATAATGTATCTGAAAGTTTATACTTTTCTTTTTCTTCATATTTTTTTTTTTTAATGCAATGACTTCTAAATAAACTTCAAACTATCCACTAAGAAAAATTAGCTTATTTTTAATAATATATTCTATTAAGTATAAAATTTTATTTAGAATATTCCTAATTTTAAATCTCTTGTTTTATGATATATTTTTTAAATTAACCTTACATATATAAATTTGAAATTCTGTCTTCTAAAGTAATACAGGAGATGCTGGAATTTGTCTAACTGACTTGTTTCCTGACTCTTTCGTTTGAAGTTAAATTCTAGTGATATAATAAATTGACTTACTGAATTGTTTCTTTTCAGCTGGAAACTAAGCCCACAGTTAATAAAAACAGGGTTTTAATTAGCCCAGTGAAAAAACTTTCTACTGGTCGATCATATCATCTTATGTCCCCCATTGACAGTGACCAAGAATTAAATGACTTGGAGGTTGCGACAGTTTTAGCAGAAGGTAAGAATTTCTGGATATACAAACTAATATTCATTGCTTTCTTATTTTAGTTTGTATATTTTCTAGTTATTTCTCAAGACTAAATCCACTTTTCCCATTTTGTATGACTTGGTCTCATGTTGAGCACTTCTTACTGTAATATTGATCCTGATTCTTCTAAACTGATATCAATTCTTTAGCAATGACTAAAATTTAAAAATCTTATCCAAAAGATTTCAATCTCAACCAGTATTACAGAATTATTTACAATATGAGTATGTTTGTATTTGTAACTCTACTTTTTAAGATACAGTCAAATTTAAACCAAATTTCTATCGCCATGTAACCAAGAATTCTGAAGTTGGGTTTTGTAAAATGACAATTAAGAATAATCAAAGTTTTGTTTAACTCAAAATCATTTTAAGATGACACTTAAACATAATAATTCAAGTTCACAAGTTACTTGTAAACATTATTAATAATAACAATACTAAGAAAAGAGCTTTTAATAAAAAGAAGTACTTTATTTGTGTAATCCTTACTTATGAGAAAGTGCTGGAAAAATTCTTGGCTCAACTCAAATGTTTGGTCAGATTTTGGGAAATGCGTTAGGACAAGAACTTGAATTTTTTAATTTAATACATATTATCAGATTATTCCAGTAGTTTGTATGTTTTATTACATTATGTAACAAGGTAGTAATAGAAAGTCCTTAATAAAGGACTGTTAGAAGACAGAATGCATGCTTGTTAGTAAGAGAAACATCACAAGGTGTAAGTTACATGTTTGGGATGTCACAATCAAGCAGGTACAAAAATTTAACTATCGATGTAGTATAGTAACAGAAAACAGAAAGTGTGACATAGAAATCCAAAGATGTCTAGAAGTAGAAATTATGCAAAGTATTAAGAATAGGAAATGTCCTTAGAAACAAGAATACTGAACTGCTATGTAATATCTAATCTCCTATATGGCAGTGAATGTTGGACAATCTCCTCACCGAAGAAGTGGCAGATGTGATTCTACCAATGAATGCTGAGAATACTATGGAAAGAACATGTGATCAACAATGAAGTCTTAAGAAAAGTAGAAACTACAAGGAAACTGGTACTTACAATCAGAAAGAAACAGCTGAATTTTCTGGAACATGTAATGAGGAAAGAGGGCCTGGACAATTTAACACTCACAGGGCATATTGAAGGCAAGAGAAGCAAAGGGGAAACAGTGAGTAACATACTTAATAAGTTTAAGTGATTGGGTGGCAAAACAAAGAGTTGAAAGTTACTTAGTGCAACAAAAGACAGGAAGTTGGGGTGAGCTATGATTGCCAGTGTCCTGAAAAGTTGCGGCACATAAAAGAAGACATTATATGACACGATTTCTTTTTACTATGAGATCAAAATATGTATTTTTTTGAAATTTACAATAATTTTAAAAATGCTCTTTGCAAATATTTGAACATTTTCTGACTTTACATTTTTTAATGTAGAGGGGAGGTGCAGTTGGGAAAAAGGTACCCCTGTACCTGGATAAAGTACTCTCTTTTAAATTAAGCAGACATTTTGTTATAGTTTAACCCAAAGCACACACACATACACACCTCCCTTGCCATCAATTTGAGTATTATGAAAAGCTTATGGATTAGGATTTTATATGTGAAAGTAACTATATATATATATATATATATATATATATATAATTAGTGGAGTGTCTACTCAAATACAGGTATCCACTAAAAATAACATTTACAGTAATAAAAAAGGGGGAGATAGGTTCGAATCCTACTATAGGGAGCATTTTCTTTAATGACTTTTCTGAAGTGTGCACGCTGGTAGACTAAATAAAATGGTATTTAAAATAAAGGGATTGAATATAGATGCCCACTAAAAATAACATTTAAAGTAATAATAATAATTATATATATATTTACACAATGCTAAATGAGGGGATGAGAAGCTTGGGCAGCAATCTTCTAATTAGAAATCCTGTGTTTTTACCTATAATAAGACAACAAACATTGTGGCCATTGAGAAATAAAACTATTTTATCACATAGCATTTTAATTTTTATGAAGTATAGTTTAACTTAGTCTGGCACAAGGTCACCGCAATGGGGCTATTCTATAATCAAACTCTCTGTAAGCAGTGTTTTGAAAATTTAATCTACTAACTATTGCTCTGCAGCTGGTGTATCTTTCAGCTGCATTATAACAAAAATAAAACAGTTTTGCAGATTTTATAAAGCTGGGGTAGTTGCTGCAAAGTTCCCCCCACAAAGCCACCTGCCAACCTCCTCCCTTTTTCTTTCTCTTTGTCATGTAGAAAAAATGATTAAAACAATCTTCTCTAAATCATATAATTTCAGTAAATAACTGTTTTCGCCATTACCAAAACAATGTTATTTGTTTTTGTTTTTTGTTTATACCAACATTGCTATAACAAAATAATGTAAAATGTTAGGCAACTATTTATTTGAAAGTTTATCCAAATGGATTATCTAGCTATATTAAAATTACATTGTTGTAAATTTCTTAAATATTATTTTCAGGAGAATCCCATGTGCAGAAATTCTCTTCAGTAAACAAAAGCAGAAAGTCTGATCTTCCCAGTAAAGTCAACCAATCACCTTTCAGGGTAAGAAAGTCATCAGTTTTTACCATTGTAAAATATACTTAAATCTTTTTAAAGAAGTGAATCATTTAAGGTATATTTTTTATTCAATATATTTACATCTAAATAATTTTTTAATATCTGCAGACCTTTTTCAATTTTTTCATAATTTTAATTATTATTGTTATCCTAAAATATAAAATGCATTGTGCATCCCTATAGTATGTATAAAACTTTATATGACAATAGAAGAATCCACACCATAGAAATGAATAAATTTCCTGGTGACAAAGTAGAAATACTACATGTTGTCTTACAGGAACTTTTAAATTGCAATTGTCATTTAGACAAACTTTTAAAGTAAGATATGCTTAAATATATGTATTTATTAAAAATTAGTTTCATGTATTTGTAGAGTGAGTGGCTATGGTTAAATGTAAAAATAAATTACAGAACTCTCCAACAAAAAGAATTGACAAAGTTTGCAATAAGCAATAACAAGAAAAAGAAAAGAACAGGGCAAAAAATAATATAAACAATATAAGCTTGGCAAATTAATAGTAATGAGGCAAAGCAACAGTAATATGGCAAAAAGTTCACAAACTAAGAATTTGAGTTGACACACAAAAGCAAGTTTGGACTTAAAGACAAGACAAACCAAGATTGGGTCAAATGAAACCGAGAACCAGACTATTTTATTGGCTAGAAAAATGTCCCAGCATGCATTTGTGTGTTTTTTGCCTATAAATTGGAGAGTGGAAAGTATTTTACAGTCCTTCCTTGTTTTAATTTATATCATGAGGGCAAGGCCGAGAAAACATTTTGTTCTTTGTTCAATAAGTGTTGAACATAAACAAGAAAATGCAGTGCATCATAAAGATATAGAATGTAGAAGTTCCACGCAGTTGCAAAATTACTTAAAAATCTTTTTATTTTTTTTATTTTTTTTTGACAACTAGGTAAATTAGTATTATAATAAAAATTAATAATAGTGTAATTATTACAATTTTTAGTAATTTTAATAGTAATTATAATAATTATTTTCAAGTTACTATAATTATTCATTTGAAACTGTAATATAACCTTTTTTTTTTTGTTTAATGGACATGCTTCTCAGAAACTATTTCATTATTAACAATCAACTAAACTGCAATTAATATAATTTTAAAAAAAATCTTCAAAAATTGTTACAGCACTTCATGAAAATTTCAATATCTGCCTTGTGTTCCATGACGTATATATATATATATATATATATATATATATATATATATGTTAAGAAATGGACAAGGTCCGACAATTTATTTATTAAAGACATTTTTATTTATGTTTAACGTTGTTATTTTATAGATACAAGTATTTAAGCAAATGCTCTGTTTATGATAAACAGTATTAAATAACATTTACCGGCCTGAATAAGAAATTTTCATAGAAAATATTCGTTCATTGACAGGATTCGAACCTGCATCCTTTTCATATTGATGCCTTACCTCTGGGCCACAATGAACCTTATAGTAGACAAGGTTGAATTTACTTTTATAAACTACAATCTTCCATGAATCTCGTACAAATAACTGCTCTTATCGAATGTAAACAAATGGCGTCATAAGGTCCGACAAATTTATTGACATTTTTATTTTATGTATTTATTTCGGACATTCAGGCGGTAAATGTTATTTAATACTGTTTATAAACAGAGCATTTTTGAATTTCAACGTTAAACATAAATAAAAATGTCTTTAATAAATAAATTGTCGGACCTTGTCCATTTCTTTAACATATGACGTCATTTGTTTACATTCGAATGTAAACAGTTATGAATATACGAGATTCATGGAAGATTGTAGTTTATAAACATTAAATTCGACCTTGTCTACATTTAAGGTTCATTAGGTTTAGGCACGTCAGCGTATATTGTTATTTTATAGGATGCAGGTTCGAATCCTGTCAATGAACGAATATTTTCTATGAAAATTTTCCGGACATTCAGGCGGTAAATGTTATTTAATACTGTTTATCATAAACAGAGCATTTGCTTAAATACTTGTATCTATAAAATAACAACGTTAAACATAAATAAAAATGTCTTTAATAAAAATATATATATATATATATATATATATATATATATATATATATTAATAAAATCAGAATTAATTTTGTTTTATGTTCTCTTTCTAAAAACATAATAAAAATACTGGTTATGTGACGAGTTATATATTTATTCTGATATTTTGGAATTTTCTATGTGGCCACTACAAATTTGTTCATTTTATTTTTCTTGTTTCTACAGATAGATTTTCTACCATTTTTACAATTTCAATTAGATCCTTTTGATAGTGAAATTGTATGCAAATTCAACATTAAGACCTTCTAAGGCATCTTTAAAGCTTCTCTGATCTATATATCTATGTTGTTTACAACTAATTTTGATATGAAATTGTCAAGAAACACTTAGCCTAGTATTAAATATTTCAAAATTATATATTCATTTTGTTTCCCCTTTAAAATTTTATAAATTGAAAAAAGAACAGAATAGGGGAAATATGAATGATTTAATTACCATGAGAATGAAAAGGTCGGGGACAAAATATTAATTTTCATTTAATCACTAGTGGTTATGGTATCCAAAAATTTTACCCACCCCAACATGCTTAAAATTAACTAATTATTAATGTTTTACATTATCCATTTTTCAGTATGTTAGCTTTTTGCTTAAATCATATGACTGCATAAATAACTTATTTACTTTTACCACATACAAAAAAATTTTACAATGCTTGTTGAAACAGTTTTATTACTACTTATTATTAGCTTCTTTTTTCTTTTTATCAAATTTTATTATTTTTGTAAGGCAGTAAAGCCACTAAGATACACAGGCTTACTGGGTGAGAGAGAATTAGAAAACACAAGCATTTTTGATGAGCAAGAACATTAGAGTAATCAGGATAATAATTGACATTGCATTTAAATTTATAGAAAAGGCACAGGGAAGCAACTTTATGGTGGTGGGAAAGTGATTGAAACTAAGTCGCCAGGTTAGGCTCAATAATATTGCTGATTCTCCTTGGATTTTTTCAAGAATCTCTAAATATGAAGCAGGAGCACCGGACTATATGTGGCAACAATATTTGAGGCTTGTACGAATGGTAGAATTATAGATATGTAAAGTGGATTCAAGTGAGTAGAATTTGTGTGAACCAACTTTCTTGGCAGCAAACCTAGCGGTGGATTCAATATAGTCTTTCCACTTAATGTCTGCCAAGTAAGCACAATGATTCACTCTCCTGAAGATTAGCATCATATGCAGATGAAAGGCAGAAAGGTCTCTCAGATGATTAATAGTGAGGTCTCATTTTAGAGGTTAAAATTAACAAGCCATCCTTTGCACCAGTTAGCAACAGATTGCAGGTCTTTTTTTGAGATCAGCTGCCAATTTGACTTTATTAATCTGATCACACTTACTATCAAGACAAGTAAATAGTTGTGTCATCAGCAAAGATACAAAGTTGACAGCTGATGCCATCAGGAAGGTCATTGATGAAAATTAAGAACAAAGTAGGACCAAGGATAGAGCCCTGGAGGTACACATGCATTAGTATGAAAGGATTTAGAAGAGTGGCTGTTCAGGACAACTTTCATTTCACGTTTAGATAAAAAAAGACTGAATCAGTTCAAAAATTCATCTGGAGTCACCATCACCTCTTAACCTGTGAAGAAGACTGGTATGCCAAAACCTGTCAAATGCTTTTGAGTTATCCAAAGCAACAGCCGAGATTCACTATTCTTGTTTAAAGCTTGATAGACTCTTTCCACAATAATCATCAATACATCGACAGGGAAATGAAAGGCATATTGCTTGTCTGAAAAAAGGCTCTGCAATATGAGATGCTTAACCAATTCAGCAGTGATTAGGGACTCTAGTAGTTTACCAAAAAGAGGTGGAAGGCTAATAGGCTGATAGTTGGATGTGTCAGATGGTTCACCTGAGTTCTTAAATGGAACAATAGATGAGGTTTTCCAACAAACAGAAAAGCAAGGGCCAGCAAGGCACTTATACAGTCTGGAGAAAACAGGAGCCACTTTGGGAGCACAAGGACTATTACAGGGATACTATCAGGTTCACATGCTTTGGGGGATCCAGATTAAAAATGATAGCAGAAACCATAAAAGGGGTTATATCACTCAACAGAGACTCCATTATAAGTGGAAAGTCGGGCAAGGATTCTGCAGATGAGCTAAGAGTAGAATTGGAAGAGAATTTACAGGTGAAACATTCTGTTTTATCAGCAGCAGATATTAACACCTAAAATTGATCTAAGAGAGGAGGAATAGAAAGCTTGCTCTTATTTACAGTACTATAGAGTTGCCAGTAGTCACAAGAGCCAAAGTTGTTAGATTCAATGTGGTGCCTCATTCTATTTGTAAACAATGAGTTAGCTTCTTTGTGGACATGTTTACATTTATTATGTGCAGCCACGAATAAGTGCCTTTGCAATCAGAACCATATGTGAAGCCAATCAAAACGTTTTTGTTTTTTTTACAAAAAAAAATATTGGAAGGCTAAAAAAAGAAAAAAAAATTATTTGAATGAATTAAAAACATTTGAAAGTTAAATCCATATACACCTTCACAGAGGAGCCAAGAATTCACTTTGTACTTTGATAAATTATAAACCCTGCACTTGTCCCCTGCTGTGGAAAGGCTACTTGCAGTTTTGTCATCCTCTCAATTCTCCTTAGATTCTACAGTGAAAGTGACTTCTTTTTTATTTTTAACAACATCAGTAGACTACAATATTGCAAGTTTATATTCCAGAACAGAGAACTGGATGGCTGAAGGTATATTGAACTAGTTTTACTATATGTCTTTGATTGGCAAGTTTGTCCTATTAATATCAGTATTCATGTTTCTTATGTGTGTGTATGCCCAGAAGCTTAATATGGGTTGGGTCATGGAAACACTAAGTCTATAATAAAAATAGAAATTTAAACCTGTTTGAGGCTTGGAAATTATGGTAACCTTCAACAGAATTACAAACATACTTGTTTTAAAAAATATAATTTATTTGTTTAACAAATTTTGTCATTGTTTTAGTAAAATAATGATTTTATTTTCTTGACACGATATCCAAACTATTTGGGAGCCAATTCTCAATATATATTATTTTGTAGAAGTTTCTTTTATGAAAACATTAATATCGTAATTGCATTTCCTTATCTATGGCTGCAAGGATAAATCCATTGCTGATATTTCAGTATTAAAAAAATGTGAAAGTATGAATCTATCATTTAAAAATTCTCATCACATTCAGCAATTTCCAATTCTGAGACAGTTGTTTGACAGTGTTTTTTACAATAAATCTTCATTTAAAGAAAGTTTTTCTTAATTTTCATGAAAGAATCATATTGGTATTCCATTTTTTTCTCCAATTGTTTAAAATTCATGGTTAAAACAAAAATTGCCTTTTTAAAGCTTTTTAAAACTGTCCTCATGATCTTTTCTTTAAGAAAAGCTTAAGTTCAATATCAGTATATTAAAAAAAAAAAAGATTTGGTTTATTGCAGTGATATTCTATTTTGTTTAATACATTTGCATTCGTTATAGAGTTCTCATTGCTGTTCTGACAGCCTTTAACAAATAAAATTAGTCATGGGTATGATGGTAAACTACATCTGGCAGCAAGCCTTCTAATCAGGAGATTGGAGGTTTTGAGGAGTATGGAACTATCTCTTAATTGCTCTTGTTCCCAGGTCCACCCTGACCCAGGGTGGTAGCATCTGTTAGTGTCCCAGCTGTGGACAAATAGTGAACTCCCAAACAAGAACAAAACAGTATGAAATACATTTTTATAGTAAAAATACCAGCAATACATTTTTTATAAAGTAAAATTACTAACAATACCTGTTTATAGTAAAATTACCAACAGTACATTTTATTTGTAATTGCAGACATACAATTGCATTCAAAATATATTTAGTTGAAGCAATAAAATTGTTTTTCAAAATATTAGATTCCGGCATTAAATAACCTATAGAGGTTGATATGCCATGAAAAAAAATCAACCAAACCAAACTATCTATAAAACATATGTTTACTCTGAAAGTATAGAATTATGTGAAAAAGATCTGTAGTTTAAGGATTACAATTGCATTCAAAATATATTTAGTTGAAGTCATAAAATTGTGTCCAAAATATTTAGATTTCAGCATTAAATATCGCATACAGGATGATACACTGCTAAATAAAATCAACCAAATCAAACCAACAAATAAAATCTGTGATCAACTTTTTTCTCTCAAAAATTCACACTGGTAATATTTACATACGCTTTCAATATTACATAACTGTCTTCTCTGTTAAAAGTTCATAATTAAAATTTGTGACTTAGCCTAGATACTCTTGACCAACACTCATTACATAAGAGAGCAACATCAATAATCACTCTCTACCAATAGCAAAGCTTCACTAAGTAAAAGATACCTAATATCATCTTAGAATAGTACATAGATTCAAAGATACTTTTATGATACTTTAGTGTTAACTGAATAAAAGACCAAAATATCTCAAAACATAGTAATTATGTTTGTACATATGCAAACATTTATAGTGCATCATCAGGCAACATGTGAATTTAATTGAAATTCGTTAAGTGTATGTGTAACAGACTTTCAAAACAAATTTATAACGCTTATCACTTCAAGTGAAAATCAAAACTCAACTCAAAATGTAAATAGATTTCTGTCGTATATATAACATGAAGATTGTTCACTATGTTTGCCTATCTATTCACATAATGGACCAAAAATAACTATTGAAAATGTAACTCGACGATATTGGTGGTAATGAAATAAGCAAAATCAACAAAAATCTTTTTGCATTTTAATATGTGTTGGAATTGTATTGTAATTGTTAAACATGTATTTCTTTTTTGCATGCTCAGCCATCGACAGTAATCACAAATTTGCAAAGAGGCAATGTACAGACAACTACTCCATCAATGTTACAAAGTAAGTTACTTAGTATTATTTTAAATGAAAAGGTTTTATCCATGTATTAAATATTTTTTTATACCTGGTCTTTAATTATTTAGTAATTCTGTTCAGATTCAAAGTATACATTTTATCAATAATTATTGTATATTTTCTTCTTAGATGAAACTTATTAAATAGTTGAATTTACTTTTGATTACTAAAATGAAACCGTTTGATTTGTTAAATATTTATATAATGAGTATTGAATACATTGAATAAAGGGTTTGGTTTGTAATTTTGAGAACATTATCAAATATGACATACTTAGAAAACTAGAGAATACAATAACTGAAACATTGTAACTATATCAACCAATTCAAATAAATCAGTTTCTAATAAATTATTAGGAACTTCAGATATATATTTGAAAATGATTCATTTTGCATTTCATTCCTGTATATATAATTAAAGATTAAAAATCTTCTTAATAATGACCATAAAATCGCATCCATGATTTATATAAAGAAAAATCAGTTCACTTGCTTAACAGGTAAAACTGTGCCTACACTTCCCAATCTCTACAATGAACCAACAAAAGTACACTTCTGAGATCGTTTTTCACTATTAATTTTTAATGCCAATTTTAGGTCAAATTATCTTTAAATATTTTCTTAACCAGAAGTTTCAATCAAATGTAATAACAATCTCAGATGATGATAAAAATTTATTAGTCCTGTTTCTAACAATCTTCTTGCAGTTTGTTTATAACCACCTGCAGTTTACATTAGGCTGTACATTATCTTATTCTTTTGTTAATCAAAACCATAATATATAACAATTAACTTTATAATTAAAATATTTTGTACTTTTTTTATGCCATATCATTAACTTGTTGATAAATTACTAATATTATTTTAAGTTTAGCAAAATAAATTGTCTTTGCTTGTATCTTTCTCTAGATATCAGTATTCACCAAAAAGCAGCCCAAGGAGAATTAGTTCTTTTGCGCAATGAATCTACTGACAGTAAGTCTATAGACAAGAATTTGCTGTTATAATCCTTTAATTTTGTTATTAAAAATATCAAATAGAATGTATCAACCCAGTTTTGGATGCATTTCTTTTGCTTGAACTTATTCTATCCTAATTATTAAATTGTTTTGAAAATAATGTCATTTGAAAGCTGCAGTTTTAGAATCAACCAACTAAAACTCAAGGTTATACTATAAACACTGATGTAGATTAACTTCTGTTTGTTTATTTCTCCCACCCACCCACTCTCAATGATAACATTTAATTCATAAGTATTGATTTTAATGCATCACATATAAAATCTATTATCGCATGTTGTATGAACTTGCTGCAGTGCAATATGGTTTATGAGTAATAATTGTCACTTCTAATTACACTTAACCCAAACATATATACATTTAATAAAATTGATAAATATATTTTATCCTATTTTCCAAAAATATCTAATTTATGAATGCATGATAAGGTTAAAGTACTTTTCTTTTGGGTTGAAATAGAGCATGGCATAAATTAACATGGAACACAAGGATAAATACTTAAGCTTCTCACTGTAAATATCCACCTAAGTTTTTAATCTCTATAATCTCTGATCTACTGACCTGAAATTCCCTATGTTGATGTCAACACATAATCTGATACAAATTTGTGAACAGATAATAAAGGATTTGTTTTTATCTTTAATGTTGAACTATAGCTAATCATTAAGGTACAAAAAAGCTTTTCAAAATATCTTTTATAATTTTTTTTTATTATTCTACTCTAATTTACCCAGGATATTGTTTTCCAACTTTTTTTTTTCTGTAAGTGTTTAGTTACATCTGTTTGCTAATGATTGTACATTAACCGATACCCTCTATATACCATGACTATTTTGTTTAAAGTTTGTATTTTTTTTAATTTCAGGTAAAACTTTGAAAATTTCCAACATATTTCAGTGAAATTTTTACTTCCCAAAATTATAATTTCGAATTATAGTTTAGATGTATATAGATAGAGGGAAGGTGTCAGTTTAAACTGATGCCAGGTGGATATGACTTTATATTTGTGAAAACAATTTTTAGTATTATTTTTAACAGCCTTATTAAGTACATTATTTTATATACCAGCTGCCTTTTGTTCAATTATAAATTGATATTTTTTTATTTTATGTAGGTGCCAACATTAATCGAGTGGATGAACAAGGACTGACTGCCTTATTGTGGGCTTGTGCAAATGGCCAATTGACAACCATAGAATATCTATTAAAGAATGGTGCCAATCCATGTGCCCAGGGAAACAAGGGAGAGAATGCTTTACTTTTTGCTTGCTGTTTTGGCTATGTTGATATTGCCAAATTGTTGCTAAAAATTGGAATGGATGTTAACTACACAGATGAAGTAAGTTGAAAAATACTCTTTTGTGTCAGTAGTCATTATTTTGATATGAATGCATAATTAGCTTTATTTATATTCAAACATTATTTAAATTGTATACAGGGTTATTCCATCAAATTTTAGATGTGCTCAACAGACAAGACTTAAGATATACTATAATGTACTTTGAAGATACTAGCTTCAGTGCAAGCAAAAGAAAACACTTTTGAGTGTTTGGATTCTTTACTGTGACATGTGATTGTTAACTTTAAAAAACATAAAATGCACATGGTATGGTAGAAAGCTTAAATATATGAATAAACTTCTTTTCTTTTTTTTTAAATTTATACACATTTTATTTTCAATTTTTTGGCTGATTTTTTTTTTTTTTATTCAATTTTTTGCTTTACAAAATCACAATATTTCTGATTCACTTGATTTTAAAAATGTTTTTACAACTCTGTACCTTTTCACTATTTTGTGTTTTGATTTTCCAAATATTGGGGATATAATTTCCAATAGTTGAGTTTTTAGTTGCTTCTAATCATTTTTTTCACATATCATGACACTGTCAGTTCAGAAAATATTTACCTCCCTTCCTATATGCTAAAAAGAGTGAATACAAGGTTGTAGAAAGGCTATCATGAAATGAATGACTGTTCACTAAATTGAGAATAGGACTCTTTTTGGTACCACACAATATTCTACTTTATTTCTATTAAATTTATCATATTAATATTCCATTAAATTAATGGTATTTGCTTCTTTTCTCTTAAGTATTTTTTACATTTCCTTTAAAATACTTATGCATTAGGATTAGATACCTTCATAGCTGTTAACAAGTGGATTTCATTTTCTCTTCAGAAATTAGCGATAATCCCAAATGAAGCTACTGAAAATGTATGTTTTATGAATAATTGTCTAAAAATCTCTGTGAAACATAAAATCAAAAATAATATATACTTAAACAAGATAGAAGTCATTATTAAACTTTTAAGACCCTTTTGGCCAGCACTTTTTCAAAAGGTAATTGTTATCATTGGTGAAACACAATCAAAGGCACATTAATAATAAATAACAAATAAGGAGGGAAAGTTAGAACATGATTAAAATAAATTTTAATTGTAAATAAATTCATGACTAAAAAAAAAATTAGGAAGTTCCAAAAGCATATAAAATAAAAAAGTTACTCACAGTCCCTCAACCAAATGTAAGGAATGCATAAAATGTTCCTTTTGTTTGCATAGGCTCAGCCTCTGAAATTCAATGTAAACAGCCTCTGAAATGATAAACTGAGCGAGCACTATGCAAGATGGAAAAAATGCGTCATTATACTTGGCAGCACAATTGAGATTGTTCAGCAAATGCTGCCCAATAGATGAGTCATGCACTGCTTGAGTGGTTCTTAAAACATGACTTGAACACAAATAAGCAGGTACATGTTGCATAATCTGCGTTTCCAACCTCTGATTAGTTTGTCCTATATACACCACTTCACATCAGCATTTGAATTCGTATATACCTAAACTGTTCTGAAAATAGGCCAAATGATTGTTACTGAAGGAAGGAAACATGTATCTTGTATGGAACTCAGTATGCAACTTGACAGTTCCTTAAAGCATCTAATTTTACCATCCATAACAGGTCTGATGATATTAACAGGATACCCATTACTTTCAAAACATTTTGGGGGATCCGAGCCAGTTCTCCATTTAACAAACCAGATCACCAAAGCACAATGAACCAGGTTAGAAATTAGACCAATTTTTCGGGCCTTGGGAACAAAAGAGTTCCAACTTGTGTATAAGCCTGTAAATGTGGGTTTATAAAAGATGCTAAATTTCTGTCCTATAGCCCACCAATCAAGTGTTAGACATCATTAAAACTTGCTGCTATGATTCTTGCCACTTCTGTGACGTCCCTGAACACAGCCTTCACTCACTCCTCGCTGCTTCGTTCGGGTGTTGCCGCTCCAAACGTGACGTCCGCCTGTCGCGTCAGTCGTGTTGTCTCGTCCTGTGACGACCAACTGGATTGGTATCGGTCGCGGCACCCAAATGTGACGTTCTAACCTTTTGGTGATTCGGATGGGAATCTGGTTAGATTCGATATCAGCCTCGTCGTTCCCAACTCGCCTTCCAACGCCTGGTTACCAAAGTAACTGCGTTGATCTCCAATCCGCCTACCACGTTGTGAATCGATCTTAGGCAGATGAAATCAATCAGTCATTGGGGCCGCAATGCAAGTTGGGTCCAAGCGGGGGTGGTATCACACAAATATGTATAAAAGAAATAAAATGATAACTCAAAAGTTCAAGGTATCAAAGAAAAGGATAACAAACTTTATGTCTAGTTGTTGGATACATAGGACTGCGTCTACCTCCCGACCCATTCTATGGATTGTGACATGTTGTTTTCCGTTAGGCGAGTTTTAACACTTCAAGTTGTTTGCTCTTTAAGAAATTGGCTTTTTGGTGTGTCTTCAGGCAAAAGTCGAAAAAAACTTATTTTGGTGGTCTGGATCTAAGTCGCTCTTCAAAATAATTGTTCTTGGATTGAAGATAAGTCCGGAAATTGCGCGAATCTTGGTCAGCCAATGCGAGGCTTGCTTCAACTGAGCACTGGAGACTGACTCTGGGAACTGTCTCTCCCGAACTCAACTCTGGAACTGCTTGATTTTCGCTCGCTGCGACCTTGCTTATATGGACGCCGACCAAAACCGGGGTGGGTTTGTCGGCACCAGGGGTTCCTCGATAATTCTAAATACCTATCCACTTCTTTTATTTTTGGTTAGGAATTTTCCACTTTCCATTTTTTTTTTTTTTTTTTTTTTTTGGGAGTCTTCTCTTGCTCTCACCTTCTCACCATGCTTCAGGGGGATGTCGGCTGTCCTCCCCACTTCCTCGTAGCGACCTCTCATACCCATCCTCTAAATGGGCGGTGACAGCTCCCTCCTTGCGTCACGTGATCACCACTCGGCCAGTGATGACCAGCCAGCGTGTACGATCCCGCGGGCTTTGTTTCAGGAAAAAAAAATATATCTCTGTAAAAAAAATTATTTTACCCCGGTCTCATCTGGACATCGTCAGTCAGATTATCGCTAATTATCAGAATGGGTGGTCTATTTAACACGGCCAGACGTCACCTCGAAAAGAAACATTTCTAGGTTTCCAGTCACTCTTTGGTGAACATTACTGAAAACACAGTTTTATTATCGCAGCTAAAGATGTCTTGTCAAAAGAAAGACGGTCAGTCGCCACTTCGTGTGCGGCTTTGACACAATTAATTTTTCATATCTATCCAAAGCCCTGTAGTTCACCTGTTTTTTGTCAATTATCAAAATAACATTTTCAATTGGATTTTTCTTTGGCTAGTCGGTCTGTGGTTTGCTTAATCAGATGTTTTCCCGCATTAGCGGTTTGTTTATGTATCCCCGATAACACAGCTCGTCGCCATAACACAACGATTCCTTTATCCATTTAGAATTTTTCTGCCATTGTAATGACAGTTTTTGCCATTTGCTACTTATCAAAATATCCTTTATCCATTGTCTCTTAGTTGTGGGTGTCCTACTTATCATCCACGTTTGGGTCTCGCCTCTCTTTTCCTTTCTTTCCTTCCTCTCTTTCCTTTCTTTTCTTTCTTTTTTTTGCCTTGGTAAATGGTGCCACACTTCTACTTTCAGCAAAAAAAGAAAAGTAAAAATATTTTTAAAGTTTTCAATTTTTCAAAATGGTAGAATCAAATGCAATGTAATTTAAATGGCTCACAGGATTTACTGCTTGTTTAAACATATTAAATCTTTTAGTATGAGTTCAAAAATGTTTGTTGTGACTTATTTAAGGGTAATTTGTAATATAATTTGAAATGTAATTTTATTGTAGAGTGGTAGTACTGCACTTATGTATGCTGCCAACAATAACCATCCCAGCTGTGTGAAACTTTTGTTAGAATGTGGGGCTGATTTCACTATGTGCAATGAGGATCATCTGACAGCCATGGATTTGGCAGTTGGGCAAGGACACAAAGGTGGTAAGTATTTTTTATTTTGCAAAAGTGTCATCTTGCCTTTTGACTTTTTGGAGGATATAACAAATGCATCTGTATGTATCTTACACATCCAGGCTTTTTTTCATTTTTAACTATAAAACCATTGAAAAATATTTTCTTTACACAAAAATTTTAAAGACTGTATTTTAAAACAATAAGATCTGCAGTCAAGATTTTTAAAAACTGAAGTTTAAGAATAAAATAATTGGTATGAAGTCACAAGTTAACCAATAGGATTTTGGTATTACAAACCAAGAAAGCTCCTCCGGAGTTTGTGTCTTGATGGATAGCTCTAGACCAAAATACATACCATACAGTGTTACTCTTTCTTTTTGTTTGTTTGTTAATCATTTCGTCCCAAGCAAGGTGATAATGCTTAATAATAATAAGTCACAAGGGATTACTGGGAGTGAAAGTATGAAAAGACTTTAGTGAAGAGAAAGGACAATAAAAGAACAGGTTTCAGGAAGACAAAAGATATCGATTGACATTGTATTTAAAATTTTGAAGATTGTTGGTAGCATTGAAGCAAGAAACTGAAAGAAAAGGAATTATTAGAATACAACTTATGGTTACATCTTGCTATTTCAATGGTAAAACGAGGTGACCTAGTTGCCAATCTAGTAGTTCACTTAAGTTCATGTGGTCAAGGTACCAAGGAGGGAACTCATGAGAAAAACTGCCATGAAAATATTATTATTATAGAAAAGACGGAGGTTAGAAAGTGACTGATGTCAAGATGCTAGATCAAGACCAATAAAATTACAGACCCTTCTGCAGGAGCACCAGACCAGATATGGCAGTAATATTCAGTGCACAGATGAATGGTAGATTTATAATATGGATTCTGGCAAGAAAAATTGCCTGGCATGATACAGTAAATCACTTCAGGTCTGAAGAACATGAAACCAAGAAGATACAATGAGTTGCTCTCCTGGTGGTTAGTGTCTGCCATGCTGATTGAAGTCAAAAATGGTTCTCTAAGATAATTAAAATATAAGTTTCATTTTGGAGGTATTCAAATTTACAAGTTATTTCTTACCCTAGTTAACAACTGATTGGAGAACATTTTTGAGAGCAGCTACCAGTTTTACTTTGTTGGACCTATTGGACTTACTATTAAGATAGTAGTAAATAGTTTTATCATCATCATAAATACCTAGTTGGGAACTGATGACATCAGGAAAGTCATTGATGAAGATAAGAAAAACATATGTACAAGGATAGAGCCCTGGGGAACTTCGCATTAATGTGAAGCTATCCAATAGTGTGGCCATTCAACACACCCATTATTTTTTAAAAAGCCCCCAGAATTAATCTGTAGAATATTATTTCAAATTTCCTTCAAATACCCAGCTATGATATCAGAATAAGTATCATCTTCAATACAACAAGCATCTGACATTCTTTTAAGCTTTGTTTTAGATTATGAAAAACTAGTTCTCACAAAACTATTTCTAAAATTTCCAATACTGATGTAGTAGTAATGGATAATAAACAAGATTTGTAAGGTGTGGCAACTTAACACAAAAATATATAAATTCCTGTTCCACCACTTCCCCACCAGCCAGGGTCCTGAATTTGATAGAAGCAATTCACAAGCAAAAGATGAAAAAGTATGATATGGAAATAAAGGGATCAAGTAACAGAAGAAATAATGATAGTTCCACATCTGCACATTTGCAACCAATAGGATAAAAGAGGATATTTCTAATGTAAATTTTACTCTCAAGCATGACCGGTTTTAAAAATTTAGAAAGTGCTTATGCCTGATTATGTAATTCTTTAAATCTTGACATGAGATATTAGTATATTTTGTATTTAATTAATTAAGAATCCAACAGAATGATAACTATGTAAGACAATTTTGAAAATTTTTGACAGCATCATCAGAAAAAAAATTATTTCATTAAGAACAAAATCTACATTAGCAAGATAAAACAAGTTCCACTAAGTTACTGAATGATTGATTTATTATTTTTTTAAATTTAACTGCATTGTTATAAAAATTAGATTTTAACTAAGTTCTTTATATTTATTAAGATTTGATACCCACATTGTTTCAGTATTAATTTAGTAAGAACAGTTAATAAACTGAAACAGCTGTCATATATTAATCATAGGGGTTTCCTAGGTCATTGTACTTTCAATATATATTCATCTGAGTAAATTATTTTTTTGTTTTTGTTTTTTTTATAGGATATTTCTGGTCAAGATTGAGTGTGTTGCTTAAGCCCCTTTTCTGTTCATATATTCATTTCCTTAAAATTTGGGATGTATTTTCATGGACATTGTGTACATTCTATTTAGCAGATTTTGGTTTCTGATTCAAAGTTAACTCTCCTTTGAACATTAATTAAATTTTTAACTGTTTTTGAAGTGTTTGTGTTAATTTTTATATTGAGATTAGCTAAACATTTTTTCAAATTCATTAGTTACGTTGTTTATAAATAATATAAATGAGTCTAATTTCTTACTGAATTTGTGAGATGAAATTTGAATATTATTTACAATTGGACTAATGTCCTTGTCATTACCACAATGTTTTGGCCATTGCGCCCTCTCCTTCTTCAGGTGTCTATCAATCTGTATAACCTTCAGGGAATTTCAAACTGAACCCTTTATTTAATCTACTGGAATAGATTGTTCTCACTTAGTTGTCCATGTCTAAATTATCAATTTGTTGATAAGATTGCCAGTATTTTTAAGATGTAAGGGGTGTTACCTGTTCCCAGATACACACATACTGTATGCATCTGGGAACTGTAAAAAGGAACCATTATTCTGACATAAGAGAGCAGTATCTATTGTAATTACAAAAGGAAAGAATTTGTTATTGATGGGACTTTTTTCCTTACCATTTCCAGGATTTAAACATATCTTTATATTTTTTGCCAACAACTAACCTCTTCATATGAAGAACAGTGTTAATTACAAGTACCATCAAAATTTATCATTAAAATCTTTGTTATTATTAAGAGGAAGGATCAAAGTACTTTTGAATATTTAATTAAATTTTTTACTCCTTTTTAGAACATTTGAAATTTTGATTAAAAAAACTTGTACACGGTTGTACTAAATTTTAGCACAGCAAATTTTAGTCTCTTTTTTGCAATGACAGACACATTAATTTGGAAATCCTTGCAAAAATCAAATAATTGTCAAATTTTAATGAAACTTTCAGAATTTTTCAGCTGTCGATAAATCAGTTAACACATCAGGAAAACAAAACCCAACAATTTAACTTTAAATTTTCTAATTTTCCTCAAATAACATTTCAGAAATATATATTTTACTTTTGCAAGATTTTTCTAACCAAGAATTAACTTTTGTTTGCAAATGTGTCAAAATGGCCGATGTTTTTTTTATCAGTTTTACTGAAAAAAAGAAATCAATTCAGATCAATATAATTTTTGTTTGAAATACACCACAGAATATTTTGCTTACTGGAAATAGTAAATTTTAAATCCTTTAGCTTTCAATTAAAGCTAACATGAAAGCTTCAGGAAAGCTTTTTCATTTTTAAAAATTCATCTTAAACCTTACATATACTGAATTACTGGAGGTACCTAATTATAAGTATATAAATGGATGAAGTGTATGTAAAATGGAGAAATTATTGTTGCACCAGTTATCATTAAACCTCAAGTTTTTAAGAGATGAAAGTCAATTGCTTACTAAATCATTAAACAATTAATTTGCCTATTAATATGAATTTGAAGCAATTAACAAATTTTACTTTTTCATTTCTTGAATTTATATTGTCATTGTACAATTGAGACTGATTTATTGAGGTTAAAATTGCATAAACTACTTTTATTTAGTTTACAAATGATGTCAAATCCTTTTATACTAATTAATATCAAAGTAGATTATGCTTTTTTAAAACTTAAACCATTTTTCTTGAGAATATTAATGTTACAGCTGATAGAAGAAATATATATTTCTTCTAAAACTAATATGATATAAGATTAGTTTCCTGTTCAAAATTTAAACTAAATTCTATTTGTATTGTTTTTCTTTTTGATATCATTTAGTCTTAAATGAGCCAGTATACTTAAAACTAGATCAAAAAAATTTTTTATGAGCTATAAATATCAAGAGACATGAGAAACTGTGTAGCACTTCACTTATACTGGCTGACAAAACAGAGTGAGGGTCCATTAAGATGAATTCAAATTGTAAATACCACCAATTTTCTCAGATATTTTACTTTTTGTATCTAAACTGAAACATTAGCTTACCATATTGATATGCAAACACACAACTGAAAACCCAGGTTATCTGATTTTAGCCTATGGTCTGGCTTGTATTGAACCACAGCATGCAAATGGCCTTTCTTCACCTTCCCCCAAAACTATTAGATGAGATAATGAACAGGTCCTTTTTTTCTTTTCTAGTTCACTTTATCAGCCATTCCCCAAAATATTTCTCTCTTTATATTTTCAGCTATGCAGAAACAAACAAAACTTAAATAAAATCATATTCATTTTGTTTTATGGTCATTCTATATTCTTCATCAATGATAAACATCCCAAACTTTAGCAGTTTTATAAAAGTAAATATGGTGTATGCCATAAATTTTTATCTCCTTTCATTATTCTTTCTTGTTCCATGAAACTAACTGTGTATTGCATATGTAATTCACCTGCCAATTAATGTTTCCTAAGTGTTGCTGCCTTTGTTCCTAAAATGTTCTTTTCTGATCTAAAGTAATTTTTTATCTGTTTTTAATACAATCTCTGACTGGTAATCTAACCTTTTCTAGCAAATTTTTGTAAGGAAATTAAAATAGATTTATTTCAAAGTAAAACTGTAAGATATTAACATATTATTGTGATGTCTTTAAGTTTCATTAATCACAACCCATGCAGATCAATTGGTGCAATTTTTTTCAGATGTTTTTTTTTTTTTATTTACTTTGTATGTTTTTCACAGTAATCTATAACAACTATCAAATTTTGTAAAGAAACAGTCACTTTTCTTGGCCTGATGATAGCAACTTATTGCTATTCATATAATTTGGTGATAGCTTATTTACTTGAGTTTTTAAGTACTTGCATTCATTTAGAGCTTTATATAATTATAATAATGGATGTTGTTAGATTACTGTTTTTATGCTTTAATTTCATTTTCATCCATCTAAAAGAATGTGTCTTAGTTTACATCATTTAAAATGTTTTTTCTTTAACTCTTTTTCAGTTCAGAATGTCATAGAAAACCATTTACTGTCAATTTTTGATGGATTTTCTGGTTCAAGTATGTTAAAATGATTTCTTACTGTGATACCATTTGTCTCAATATCAGCAAATCAATATCTTTAAAGAACAATTATTTTGATGCCTTTAGCAAAGTAAAAAGAACTGACCAAACATCCTACCTCCTTATAAAACAAAAAAAATTTCTTTCACAATTTATTATTTAAAAAATAAAGACTAAAGCATGTTTTCACTTTCTCTCTTTACAAACACAAGTCTTTACAGAAAATTAAAGTACATGCCATTTTCAAAGATGACTTGGGTAATCACAAAAATGTCTCTTATGATCAAGAAATATTTATCTCCTAAAGCCACTAATGAATGTATTTTTATAAGCTTGTAAATGATTTCTTTCAAATTTTAATTTAAAAAAGTTAGTATTTTCATCCTAAAGCTAAAATGTGCTAGTAATTTATAAAATAACTTGTAAAGAATTTAAAATGGAGATGTTCTTTTAAATATCTTGAAGTATTCTAAGAGACTCTTCTTCCTTAAACAGATGATAATTCTTGGAGTCTGGTTTTAAAATTTTGCTGTTAAGATTTGCTTAATTTATTCTTCACTGGCTATGAAAACAACTAATGATTTAACATAAATAACTAAGAAAAATTTTATAAATACAAACTAAACTAGTTGGTTACTTAAATTATTTGTGATATTATTTATTTTTTTATGTGAATAAAAACTTTTACATTGTTACATGTTGTTTGTGTTCATACACTGTTTAGTGACAGTAGTCACCTAAAATGTATTTTCTTTTATGTGGGCAGCTGAACAGAGATTAATCAAGTGTTTACATTTAGAATTCTACAAAATTCATACTTGGGTCCTTGTGGATTTATGTACAGCCTCATTTCTTCAAGTGAGATGAAGATTTTAATTTAGATTTATTCTGGTCTGACATAGAAGCCCTGCCGGCTACAGCTCTGTCCTGTCTCTCCAGTGGTTCTGGCCAAAAAGTAAACCACCCGGTCTTCCCCCGGTGAACTCAAGGAATCACCACTATCCGCCACGTTGTGAATTTTTGATCCGAACAGCACTATTTCAATCCCTCAGAACGATCCGGAGGTAGGATGAATTAAATGGCTGGGCTCCACGCTGAAAGAAATCGCTATTTGTGCAGAAAGGCTCTTGTTGTAACCACAAGGGCACAAAGAAAAAAAATAAGCAACACTTTCGGTTCCTGTACAAAGAGCCCTTTAAGGCTACTGTTTTTATATCACTACCAACGAATTTTCATAAATACAAACTGTCTGAACGAGATTCACTCGTTTGGGTCGGAACGTCACAGAGAGAAAAAAACACAATTATGCCGGTCGAAATTCGGCTGTACTAAGAGAGATAAGTTGTGGTTCTTGTCCGCACCCTCCGATATAGCAGTCGGCTTTTCTCAGCTTTGTTGACGAAGTTATCAGGATTCACACAGGTTCGATTTCTATCTCTGGGTACGATTCGGACTTTTTGACGCATGCAACCAACTGGCCAGATCAGCAAGACCCACTAAGCAGTTTCCGACGCATTTTCCTTCGTGTTCTCTGATCTGCAGTCCCTGATCTGTGATCTGTCTCTCTCTCTCTCTCTCTCTCTCTCTCTCTCTCTGCCACGTCTGCCGCTTCTCTCACGTTCCGACGCGTTCTCTGATCCTATCCAATCTGATCTCTGATCTCATCTGCTCAACTCAAGCGTGCAGGTCGCTTATATAGAGAGAGGCGGAGCTAAACAGTTTTTAGGCACCGCCCACGAATTTTAATATGCAAATCACCTGGACCACCATGTGTCTTCCACCAGATCTCTGAAGCTCCGCGGGGACCCAGTTTTCAAGAGGTACTAAAATCGGATTCGGACTCCCTGCTGGGTTTTCCGCAGACAATGCCCAGCGAAAAGCACTTATCTCGTCTGAGGGATCTGGCTGGATCTCGCCCAGCAGACCACCCAAAATCCAATTCAACATTTATCAAGCTTTACCTAACGGACCCGTCCATTACTTACTCTGGAATTAATTCACCTAGTTAATTAATAATTCAATCCCAGAAACAACTAAGTAAAAAGAAAAACTTATTTCTGGAATTACTCCGGAATCCCTTCTCCCCAACTAATTAGTACTTTCTTCCCAATCCTTTAGAACCGTTGATTAATAAACCCACCTGGTGTGTGGTGGGGGGTGCTCTCTCTCTCTCTGTTACACTGGCAATAATACTTTTTTAAGTTACACTTTGATTGGGAAAAGAAATGAGGCCATATGAAAAGATTTAAACATTTTTGTTCCCTTTCTCAAAAGTTTATATGATTGTATTTTAACAGAATAATAATTATTTAGCTTCACTTAATAAGTTTAGCTTCAGAGCATATTTTAATATAGGTTCAATATGAAATATGCCCAAGATTAGAAATTGTCTATATTTAGAAGTTAAATTGTTTCCCATTTATGACCTTAATAAAATAGGAGAAGAAATTCCCATTATTCATATTTGAGCCATAGAACTACAGTGAGACAATGATGGAAATTCATGACTTAAGCTATTTTAATTTTTGTGAAATTCTTTTTTGTAAAAATAATATCTATAAAAGGTATTGAAAAATCTGTAAATTAAACTGTAGAGGACCATGGCGGTGGGTAGAAATTTCCTGCTAGCCGGTCCAACTACATGAGAAAGTTGGACTTTAATTAAGTCCAAAAAAAACAAACAAGACCGATAAATATATGTAAACAAATATATGTATTAACAACAAGTACAAGTTACAAGTACATAGACAGTTACATTGAGTGCGTGTGGTGAATATTATGCGTGTGTGTTGTGGTGAGTGTTTGTATATACGTGTATTGTTCTTAGCGTGTTCCCAGAATTTGGAAAATGCTGTATCTGTTAGAGCTCACATCTGCAAGGTGGTATAAAACTGAAAGCCTGAGGAAAAAAGAGAGATCGAGGCGAAGGGTCAGCTAGTATTTATAGCCAGGGGAGAGAGACTCCTGGTGAAGGGTTAAGGAACTAAAGGAGCTAACTCCGGCAAAACCACTTCACAAAATACCAGAATTTTATTTTTGGAAGTGCTGAAAACATTGCATCTTCAGTATCACCTTATATATATGTGAATGGGTCACTGGGTGGATATATGCACACTGACAGAAAATAAAATTCCAACACTCTGAAGCAGAATGTCAATTTTTACCTGGATGTAGTAGAAAACATGGTGAGGATAGTAGATATTCTGATAAAATTTTCTGTCTTTGGTCATCTTATGATATAATAACAATCATACCAGTGCATCATCTGTGTCTGAGGGTTCATTATATTGAAAGATTCCAGTTCAAGCATGTATCATGTCATGGAGATGTACACATACTCCTTTTGTTCACTTAGAACCATTTGAGAGGTTTAGGATTGTGGGCCTTTCAGAGACTGAATGGTCATTTCAGAAAATTGGCAAACATATTTGATATGTGTTGATGACAACAGATATCAAATCAACATTCATCCACCTGTAAACAAAGTTTTGGATGGCCACATAAGATAGATGCTCACCAAGATCAGCACATTGTAATGGCAGCAGTGTCAGTCTGCATGGCATCTGCCGCACATATAACCCTAGCAGTGTCAACATGGTATTTGCAGCAGAACATCAGATGCATATACCTCAAGCCAGACTCCCATTTAGGCTGCAACAGCAACATGCTTGTCTGCAACAGTGTTACAAGTAGGATACATGGTAGATCAAATTACACTCTCTAATAGTAATTAAATGCTTCTCTGATATTAATAAAAATTCAAATAACTTCAAATAACACTGGTTATATAATTACCACATGATCTCATAAACTAACTTGTCATTTATCTGATGATAGCCCTATTAAATCTCATGTCACCAATGAACACAACAAATCTAACATGTACAGCCACTACAAAAATATATAATTGTAAAAGAAAAAAAATCTGTAAATACTTACTTAACCAATCTAGCAATAATAAAATTCAATTCAAGAACAAACATGTTAAATATTTAATCTCTTATAAAAAAGAACCTGCAACCTAACATCATATGACAGTGTAAAAAAAAAAAATTGCATAACATAATGCATAAAATAAATTTGAATTCTAAACTCATTTTAACAAAATGATATGAACTTTTTTTGATTATGTTTATGAAAACTTATATAACCTCAATCCTGATGTCAAAAATAAAGAAAAAATTTAAATATCCTTAATAAAATTTGTATCAGTAAAACATTGCTGGTCAAATACTCTTTAACTGTGTATGCATAGGTGTGTCTGTGTGAGTGTGTATATATTATATAAGGGACTCTAAGTATTCCAAGTAACTTGAGTGTTTTCACCAAAAGTGTTTCAGATGCATACTCAGCATCAAGTGGCAAAGCAAAACACCAGAAACAAATGTTCTTGAAATGGCTGGATGTACAAATATAAAGCCTCTCATCTACTCAATGCATTGGACAAGCCATTTTGTATATATGGAAGATAGCAATTCCAGAGTAACTGTTACCATGATGAGCTTATTAAAGAACTGCAGATTGATTTTGAAAGCTTGGGAGAAATAGCGACAATGTTTAACCTTCATTCATACCTGCAAGAAAAAACTGTCAAAAGGACAGTTATTCTTTTGACACCACTATAACAGCATGCATTTTAACTCCCTTGACAATGTCTATTTACAAGATTATAAAAATATGTGATCTTATAAAGATTTATTATTTACCATTTTATAAAGAAATAAATTAGAAAAATCTTTTCATTGAACAATTTATTTAAAAAATTATGAAAATATGTAAGACGAAGAGATGCTCTCAATCTATTTTACTGAATTTATGTAACAATGCAAATGAAATAAATACCCAGAAAATATTTTTTTTTCAAAATTTATACTTGCATTTACTTAAATTTTTCTTGTTCAGACATTTTTATAAATTTACAAATAAAAACTTTCTTTTCATATTTATTTCTTTATAAACTAGTAAATAAATATTTCATTATAGTTAGTTCACATATTTTTATAATATTGTAAATATAAAATTATTTTAAATAAGCAATTTAATCAATAAAGTGTTTAATATCTTTGTCATCAATTCTCTAAAGAATAAAGAAAATGTATAAATCAACTTTCATTTAGGTTTTATTAAAACTCTAATCATCACTTTTTAAAACAATAAATATTGCCAAAGGAGTCAAAAGTGTATACTGCAATAGCAGTGTCAAAGGAATAAGCTTCATTTTGACATACCATCTTTTTGCCTGGCACAAAGGTTAAACATTGCCAAATTAGCTTAAAAAGAGCTGAGTTAAGAAATTCTCTGTAGGAAGGCTGTAAGACCTATAAAAAAGGATGTGTAGCACAAAAGGTTTAAATATCAACTCCAGATTAGTTGAACTGTCATCAGAACCTTCATGAGAATATAAAATGGTGCAAGTCACACAGACATACACTTGTTTCTAAATCTGGTAAGTGTCATGAAAAACTAAAATGCATTCTCACTCTAAAACCAGATGAGACAACCTGTGTGATATGCAGAAAAGTCTCAACACTGATCAATTTCTACAGGCTGACCCAATCTTCAGACTGTACAGATCTGCAGCAAGCCTGAAAAATCAAGGACAAAAAGTGGATGAGAGTGATGATGATGGAACATCATGAGATAGCAACCATCTGTGAAGATGGAGTAATCACCATGTGTGTGCATATATACACTGATGGGCTAAAAGTCATAGGAGAGCAGTATGTAAAAATAATAGAATTTGACAACATCATATCTTTAACTCATGGAAACATCTAGATCTACATTAGTTGTGCCCCAACATCTAATGAGTCTGCATAAACACTGACTGGGTTGTTCATGGCAAGGTAACCTGAATTATTGGACTTCAAACAAGGTATAAGTGTTAGTGTGATATTCCATTTCTGAAATTTCTTTATTATTTATGTGTACTAGAAATAACTGATTGAAAGCATTACCATTATGGTTTCTTAATGATTGCAACCAGAGGCATCTGATTAGAATTATCTGTGGTAACAGATAATGTACACTGGCTCAAATCATATCCACATTCAATGCAGGTAGGTATCAAGCAGTTAGTTTCAGTATTCTTTAGTTGCCATCAGATACAGAGCAGAAGACCTCCTCAGACACAGTTCAACACCTGGGCTCGTAACATTGCTAATTGAACCCTGGAGGATGAGCAACTGTAGCATGGTACAATGAGTCATTGTTTCAGACTGATAGCAGGATGGTGCAGACCCCAACAAGGCATTATGCAGGCTTCGTAATGATGTAGGTTGTGTTCACATGACATCAGTTGGATCCACCTAAACATATTGACCAGTGTCCACTATGCTGCTCTGCTTTATGAACATTTGAACCTATTCATGGATCCCAACGACAATGGGTTATTCCAGCAGGGTAATGCATTGTATCATAGGGCCCAGCTTGGCTAGAATTTCTTTGAGAAACATTCTGGAGACTCCTGACAAATAACAAGATCACCATTGGTAATAAGGTCTATTGTATTATCCTAATGGTTATTGTGTAGGCAGTAGTGGTTGTTTCAAATTATTATAAAGTTTATTGAGTCTGTCTATATTTCTGAGATGAGGTATTATTTACATTATTCGGACTATTGTCCTCATCTTTGTCGCCATATCTATCACAACGTTTTG